TACACAGAAATATTTACAAATTGTGAAGCAGAAACAACTGGGGGAAAAAAGGGAAGCATATATTTAAAGAACAATCTATATTTGTACTCTATAATATCTGTACTACTCAGAAATTCAAACATAGATTAAAATGTACTGTATGCAAAGTTCCTTTTAGTGGAACATCTTCCTCATTGCACTGATGCTGATAATGATAGCATGCTCAGTATCCTCTGTGTCGTAATAATTGACACCATCTCAAGAGGATTACAGCAGCACAGTATTCTTCAGTGTGTGTGTGTGTAGGCGTGTTCTATACTTCTGTTCTTTTCCTAAGTAGGCTCTCAATTGGGCACAAAGGAATATTCTCCCACTAATAAAAAGCTTTGTCTTCATTTACTAAACCCATTTGACTTACTTTTTATTTGTAACATAAAAGAAAAACGGGCCATTATTTTTTAGAGTCTGCCGAGCTTGAAAATGAAAAGGCACACCACAACATTAGTATACAAGCAGTTCATCTATTGTAATCCACCCTAGATGAAATATTTAAATACATTTTCTCATTTTTAGCAGTTTTGCATAAACAGTATCTGCTAATTTGCTACAAAATCAACTTGTTACAGCATACAAGTCCAGTGGTACACAACGTCATAAGACGTTAATATTAGGTTAAATTTAGGTCGTGACATCAGGTAACTAAAATTAAATGTCTAGCCAGCATCTAAGGATGTTATCAAGGATGGTATCAAATGACACTGATATTTGGTTGATTTTAAGTTGTGTTGGAAAGTGACCAAAATCCAACGAGCCAACATCTTAAAATACTGACATTTCTTTGTCAGGCATGGTACCCAAGATCCAACCTCTGATAGACGTCATAGTTGTAATGTCCACACAATCGATACATTTACATGTACACTAAAAATTAGGTGAATAATAATTCTACCATGTAAAAAGACATTTTTTATTACTTTAATCCGATTAAAGTCATAATCAAACTAAACAGAAATTGGATTAAGACGGAGTTTGCTGATTTTAGTTGCATTATTGAAGTGCAGTACAGACTTATAAACACCTCAATCAAACTATTACCGTCATGTAGGATTTTGCCACATTGTGTGACAGGATATTTTATACACACATGGCTGTTAGACACTATTCTCTGCACCTAGTGAGTGGACCACAATTTTTCCTATTCCATGTGTGGTATCAAATTTCTTTAAAACAACACTCATTCAGCAGTTCATACTCACAAAAAATATATATACTAAATAATATCACGTTTATCACGGGAAGCATGCATGAAATGTTCCTGAATAAAAATGAAAGTGCCAAAAATGTTAAATGAAACACCCAAAATTACATGAAACTCCAGAGGAAATGTGTATAGCGTGGTGACGCAATGAGGTTAATCGAATTATGTGCTATAACATGTAAAATGGGATCATGAAAGAAACATTCAAAAAGCAACTCATGTATATGCCTTCATCATATTATTTTCTTAATCAGATTTAAGGCCCGTGCACACAAAGACGTTTTTTGCTCGCGTTTTCCGTCGACGTTTAACGCCTCGTGACTAAATAACGGGCGTCAATGTGATCGTGCACACCAATGCACAAAACGCCAGATTTGCAAAAGAGTCATTTGAAAAAAAATGCTCATGCTCATTTTTTTGTTATGACGTACCGCTTCAAAACCTTCTCCATTAATCAGATCAGAACTTTTGTTCACGTGCACGGAGCTGCTGAAGTTACAGTAAACAGCACTTGGAAGCGCTCAAGCGCAAAACTGTCAATGTGAGCGCACAATGAAGAAGATGCCCAGAGGCGATATAAACGTAGAGCTGCTTATTGCTCTTGTGAACACTACTCATTTCTTCATCGCTAGAGCTGGAGCCGCTGCTTAAACCATCCATGCTTGTTCGAGTCACCAGTAACTTTAACAACAAGCATGTAAACTTCCTCTCCTCCTCTTTTTCTGTGTTATAAGAGGGTGTCAGAAGCCTGTATTGTGCAGAAGTTGTGCAGCGTCATCTAACGTCAAAAGAGTGATTTTGCATACTCTTCAGCTTGACGCCAGTGAAAAGCGCTTGGGTTTGAATTCTGAAAACGTCTCGTAAAACGCTGACGATAAACGCAAACGAAAAGCATCCCAGTGTGTAGGAGCCTTAAGGCAAATATTACTGATGTCCATGTAAACATAGTCAGTGACAAACTGTATCATCATTATACGTTGATATTTGGTTGATTTTAGCTTGGACATTGACTGAACATTGAGTTTTGACGTCAACCCAATTTTCATTTTCATTTGCGAACAAAATGCACCATCTCCATGACTTTGGGGTACAAGGTCAATCTAACCGGGGAGGCAGGGAGGCTGCAATATTGAAAATAAGGCAATATTGTCTATCATAAATTTTGACATTATTTGACAGAATCCATTTATAAATCTGGCTATTTAGACAAAACATGTTTGTCCACATCGTTAGTGTAGCACAAACTGTGCCAAAGCTACAATTATATTCACTGAAGCTTAGCATTTAATGTTTTACTTGCATTGTGAATTCAGTCCCTCAACAAAACTTTTTCAGAGGTGACTAATCTAAATGCATTCGATCAAACCCAGCATGCGTAAATGTAATGATGCAAACACTTTACTCATTAGCACTTTTAACTAGGGTCAATCATAATAGTTTAGGTTACTGAACAGTGGCACCCTTTACCTCATCTTTAATTTGTGTTCATTTTGGTGGCATTTTGCCACAAAACACCATTGTTGATAGACAAAGTTCTAAAAGCTAATAATTTAGCCACAACAGTGAACTTATAAGATTATACATGTACTGCACCAACTGAGTGAGAATGCAGATTTTGTTGCAATTTAAATGCTTGAGCGGAAAGTAAGAGGATTAGAAATATGCTTCTTTATATGAAGAAATCAACAGAATACTTTTTACATCATGTGTAATATTACTGTAATTTTTAATTAGTTAAATCCACAACATGTCAGCACTGAACTGGGTCATTGTATGTTTAACAGTTGCCAAGAGCTTATGTGAAGAAAAAATTGAAACTAATGTACTTCAAAAAAAACTTTTTGCTACAGTGTTGAGGACAGAGGGGGTTCAAGTATTCCTGGGTCTGCAAGTGTAAAAAGTAGGCAGGGCAATGTTTCATTCAGATTTCAGAATGAAATGGCTAAAGATTTGACATACTGTAATGGTCTTTAATCTTAAATCTAACTTAAAGACACATTTTTACTCTCTTGCCTTTGACTGATGCATGCATGTTATTTTTGTATTATTTATATTTTAGTATTACTTTTAAATATATTTTATTGTATTTTTAATACCAGTTATTTTTAGTTTTATTGTCTAGTTTATTTTATTGTAAAGCACTTTGGATCAACTACGGTTGTGTTAAATTGTGCTCTATAAATAAAATTTGCCTTGCCTTGCCTAATCTGTTAAAACGAGTCGACTCTTTTTTGAGAGACATGGTGCACTTTCAAATTTAAACCTCAGGCCGATGCTTTCATTCACTTACAGCGGGTAATTTTCAAAACGCATAATAGGGGCTTGTTGAATTTGACTTTTTTGTAAAGGTAACGGTCAATATTATGTCGCAAAACAAGTCATCTGTGTGTGGCAGGCAATAGCACTGTGCAAATCCATGAATGAACATTCTGAAGTGATGATTATCTGTGCTCAGGTGGGGGGGCATGAATACTGTGTAGGGACCCTGTCAATTGGAACACAGTTCATGCATGAAACTCTCAGCTAACAAGCTGGTTATCTAAATCAGTTGTGTTAAATAAGAGAGACATGCGACAGGAATTGAGAACCACAGATTTGATCACTTAATTAGCACTAAACGCTCTAAAAAATAACTTTAGTTTTTTACTGTATAGAGTTTATAATGTGATTACATTCATGCTTAAGTTGATGAGATGGATAGAACTGTTGCGTGTAAAGAAAACACTGCTCTGCTGAAAACACTGCTGAAAAATGCTAATCATTATTAGTTTAAAGGGACTGCAAACCAAATGTTAAAGTGCTTTTGTTCATATACCAGTACATTTTAAATAAAAGTTTACAATAGAATATTTGTAAATACATTACCGATTGTGTTGCTAAACAGTGCAAGTAATCAGATAAAATTATATTTTGTTTTTTTAAAAAGGACTATCTTTAATGCCATTTAATGCAGTTAAAAAGTTCTTTTTAAAAAAGTATTGGTTCAGGAACTATTTAGGCACCATACATCTAAACGTGTCATACAAAAATAAATGACATCCAATCAGAATAATACGTCCAAGTCTTACATTTAATTTAATCCTTCATAAATACTGTATTTGTAGCTTCAGAAGTCTTATATACTTGATTTATTAATAATTTTTTGTTGCTGTTTGAAATGCCTCATTAACATCCATAACATGAGGGATAAGCTTAAAAAATGGACATGCTCCACAAAATAATAATAATAATTACAAAAAAAAAAAAAAAAATATATATATATATATATATATATATATATATATATATATATATATATATATATATATATATATATATATATATATATATATATATATATATATATATATATTAGATCTATACATTTTAAAGCCATTTATTTATTGATTAAACTATCCTGTTTTAGAGCTTTTGACAATCACCTTCTTGACCTTATTAAGAAAGAAAGTGAACTGTCTTATCAGTTTCTGACCAAACGAAATGCCTGAGCAGGATTATAAAGAAGTAACACAGTTCTGAATCACCACTTGCACATTTTTCCAGTCACATTGCTGTGTGTCTAATCATTATTAAGCTCATAAACCTCTTTTTCTTTCCCAGAAACACCTCACACCATCCAAACCAAAGCCATTACAACTCTTATTATAATAATTATAACATCTCTCTCTGAAATGGCTCATTTATCTCTCGCAGAAATATATACATAAACATCAACAACACGCAAATCTTAAAATCTGCTTAAAAAGAGGGAATGCTGACTTACACATAACTGAACCCATTGTGCCGACGGTCCTGCGCCGCGCAAAACCACTGACCCTCAAAACTCCCTCACTCCGAGTGTCTCCTTCAGGTTGCGTTTTACTCCTGAGAGTCGAATAAGATATTAAGGGAGAAACGTGTGCATCTGAGATGCAGGTAACACATTGACATGCTTTCTACAAATATCTCGGAGAATGCCAGAAGCGCCGGCAGTTTCCTCTTCCTTTCTCTCCCAGCGAGACATTCATCACTGCGCTGTGTTCTGTGGTTAAAGTACGTCAGGAAGAACTTCTCACAAACACACAGATTCCTTTTCCCCTCTCCACCCCAAAACAGAGCCCCGCTGCACACACACACACACATACACACACACAAACCCCTCCCCTCACCCCTCACACATGAGACGGCATCATGTGGCACTGGCTGTTAAATCTAAACCCGAGGACATAACTTTTCTCAGGCTATTTGACGATGGAAAACAAATGTAATGTGTTAATCTTCAAAGCAGAGCGTCAGAAATAAACCCTCGCTTGTACTGTAGGTGAGCTAATGTTACATTGGTAACTTCAGACATTCCTGTGGATGGAAACCTTTGTGCTTGTAAAGAAAAAAAAAAAGACATTTCACTCTGGAGCAGACCCTGGAAATCACAGTCAGCCTGAAAAAAAACTGTTAGCCTTGCATAAATAAAATGTCCTTGAATTGAGAATAAAAGATTTCATTAATTTGATAACTTACATTAAAGAAATTGTACTATGTGACTGCTTGAAGATTCTTACTATTGATGCATTCATTAATAAAATTCTACAATAATAAGAATTAATAATTGTCTAATCAAAATTATTGACATAATAATAAGTGCTAATGGGTCAGTGAAAAATTTGCATAATAATAATAATGAAAAAACAACAACAACAACAACCACAATAATAATAAAGCATGTAAAATGTTATAATGTAAAATGTTTGAATCAAAAAATTATTATGTGCATATTTATTATTAATTATTATTCTTATTCTTTTTCTTCTGCTTCTCATTATTATTATTATTATTATTATTATTATTATTATTACTTTTTAGAAATTGTGGGATCAATATTTTTTTCTACTGACTTGCCATTTTGTATGTATGTATGTATGCATGTATGTAATGTATGTGTATGTATGTATGTGATGTATGTGTATGCATGTATGTATGTATGTGTATGCATGTATGTATGTATGTATGCATGTATGTATGTAAGTATGTATGTCTGTATTTGTATGTATGCGATGTATGTGTATGTATGTATATATGTATGTATGTATTTATGTGCATGTATGTATGTGATGTATATGTATGTATGTACGTATGTATGTATGTATGTGATGTATGTGTATGTATGTATGTATGTATGTATGTATGTATGTATGTACGTATGTATGTCTGTATGTATGTATGTATGTATGTATGTACGTATGTATGTATGTATGTGATGTATGTATGTATGTGATGTATGTGTATGTGTATGTATGTATGTGTATGTGTATGTGTGTATGTATGTGTGTACAGTTGAAGTCTGAATTATTTTATAAATATATTTTTTCTTTTTTTAAATATTTCTCAAATGATGTTTATCAGAGCAAGGAAATGTTCACCATATATCTGATAATATTTGTACTTTTAGAGAAAGCCTTATTTGTTTTATTTTGGCTGAATAAAAGCAATTTAAATTTTTAAACTCCATTTGAAGGTCAAAATTATTAGCCCCTTTAAGCTATTTTTTTTTAAATAATCTACAGAACAAACCATCGTTATACAATAACTTGTCTAATTACCCTAACCTGCCTAGGTAATATATATATATACACACACACACACACACACACACACACACACAAACATATATATATATATATATTTTAAGATGTATTTTAAGATTATATTTATCACAAAAACCATGGTTCGGTTCGATACAACACAGTGGTGTCACGGTTCGGTACGTTCTCGATACAGCAATAAAAGAAAAAAGCGAGAGGATTCTCTGATTTAAATTTTTTTATGTATTAAAACTAACATCATAAAAGCATGATCTTGTTTGTTTTTTTCTTTTACTTGAAACACTGATAGAGCTATACTTCTAGGGTTTCTGCTTAGCAGCAAATAAAACAAATCCTTCTTTATACTCAAAACCAAAAAACTTCCTATAAAAAAATAAATGTAATATTGTAGTAGTTAAACAAATAAAAGATAATAACTATTTAGTTTTTATATGGAGCTTAGTTTCAATCTATTTTTAAGTTGTTGTTTTTTTTTTCAGAAAGATGAGTGTCCACCTTTTCTTCAGACAGCACAGATCTATCTACTTTTTGTTTTAATATTATATGTTAGGCACTTGGGGTCTGAGAGTAACGCAATTCCTCTGTATGTCCTGTACATGAGGTTGAATTGACAATAAAGCTGACTTTGACATTTACTTTTGACAAAAATGATGATGGTGATGATGATAATATGTTTTCAAATATATAGTTATTAAGTACACCTTCATTCACAAAGCACCGGATCTTCCATAATTTCTGTAAATAGTCTAAATGTGTGCCATCTCAAACGCACACATGAGTTTAAATTAAAGGAGTGATGCAAGTCCTTATCTACAGTAAAAGCCCTAACAACCACATACCAACATGCTAAACACATCTCAGAACCATTTAAAAACAGCATGATTTTATGCAGGCAAGCTCCAATCTAATATTAGCCATTGCACACAAACTTCAAATTGAGGGCCATTGCTATTTACAGTATGAAATATACCCCATGTACAGGATTTAAGGATGTGTGACTTTAGATTATGACACCAGGGCATGTTTTCAGATAATCGCTGTGTGATAAAGCAGCATCTGCTATAATCTGATTACTGAGCTCTATTTTAAGCTGATCTCAGTGTGTGGTATATCTACAGTACTGTGGATGTCATTTAGTGTCGAACACTGTATGTTCAGTAATGCCTGCTTCCCTGTATTTCTTTGTAAATATTCAGACTTAATATACAGGATTCAACATCTATGAGAAAACTGCAAAATGCACTCAGTGAGAGAGGTTAAGAGAGGGTGATGTTGTAAAGCTTCAGTGACTGACAATTTAATGGATTCTATTAGCTGAGAAGGCATTTTACATATGAGCCCTTCCATACATCCGCAACAAATCATTCGTCAAGTCTAAACAATAAGGCCCTGATAAATGAGCAATACGAACAATCGATCGCAGATAGTTAATGGACGGACACAAAAAGTAAAAGGAAAATAATAATAGTAAAGAAACAAAAAATGCCACTACATAGGGGGACACTCCACGCGACAAGATTTTTACAGTATTTTTAAGAAATCGTTAATGATGAAATACATAAATGGAAAATTGTCACGATCACCAGCAATCCAACTACCAGAGATCGCTGGAAAACATTCACACTCACATAGGACTACAAATCTGCTGGTAATGGACTACAAGACCCAGTCATGCACCACACACACACACACACAACTGGTTCCTGATACTGACTGATTGCACACACACAGTGGATACAGCTCAAGTACTGATTACACACACATACAGCTCACTTTGAGACACTCATTGACTACGTTTACATGGGCATCAGTAATCAAATTATTTGCCTTAATCTAATTAAGACAATACTACGATTAAAGTGTTTACATGAGGTAACCCCCCCACACACACACACACACCCACACACACAGAGAGGACGGGCTCGCGCACACCTCTGAATGAAGTCTGCTTTAGTGAACAGAACCTGCATAGGCTGTGAATAATAGTAGAGGTGTGAACCTATACTGGTCTCACGGTTCGGTTTGGTTACGATTATTTCTGGCGCCCCCCTGGATATACAGCGCTCTTAGCATTTGCCTATGGTGCCAATGCCACGGACCGGCCCTGAGTTGCCTGAGTGTTGTAAATACTCGCGCTCACCTCCCTCGCAACATCATTACATGAGTAAATGACGTCAGTACATAATAACCGGTTATGATTATTACTGAACCAATACAGAATTGTCCGCGTCTGCATCGCGGTGCACCGAAGAAACAATTAATTTTGACACCACTAAATAACAGGTTATTAAAGTGGTAAATAACATTCAGTTTGTGGCACAGAGTGATTGTTAGGGAGCCGCCCGGGAAGTGAACCGCTCTTAGCAGTGAAAATGAAACCGAAAGCGCACAGTGTTGCGGGATGAAGCTGACTGATTCCAGCTCAAAAAGTATCCAAAACCCACCGAAATGCAAAAATACCCACCCAGTCCTCTGTATTTACAAAAATCACATCAGTGACAGATTTTAAGCAGAAAATGGCAGATTGTAAGCATATGTCTCAAACACATTTAATTAAACATCAGAATTATCATCAGCATTAATGACCAGGACAAATCTAAAGTCTGTTCAAGTCCACCATTCCAAGTCTATACAAAATTTAGCATTTTAACCAACAGTACAGCTACACAAAGCCTATTGCTGTTTTACCACATGTTTGAGAAATCCAATAATAAAAGCCCATGCACTCATAACATTTATTTTACATCTACAGAATCGTGAGAAAATCGTGATCTTTATTTTAGGCAAAAAAAAATCACGATTCTCATTTTAGCCAGAATCGTGCTGCTCTAATTAAGGTGTTAACATGTCTGTACTGCACTTCAATAATGCGACTAAAATCAAAATACTCAACATGTCTTAATTTGATTTCTCTTTAGTTTGATTATGACCTTAATCTGATTAAATAATCAAAAATTGCTATTTACATGGTAGACTCTTCATCGGAGTGTTGTCTTAATCGCATTAAAATCAAATTATTGGTGTCCATGTAAACGTAGTCAAAATGCAGCTAAAAGTCCTACACAACGGTAATAGTTGGATCACGTCATTTACATGTCTGTACTGCACTTCAACAATGCGACTGAAATGTCTTAATTCGATTACTGTTTACAGCGATTATGGCTGTAAGCATATCTAAATCGTATGTTGTGAGCCATGGTTAATGCGTGTGGCTGCAGCTGTAGCAGTCTCTGCTTTTGGACACAGCAACCCTTGAACTTCAGTGAAGAAAAAAAAATGGTTACGTCACATTCACCCGCCCCAAACGAGTGACGCGCAACTCAGAGGCCAACCTGTCAGGTGTGTGTAAAGCACTTGATGTGAGGCTCTAATCTAATCCTGCCTCCAATCTTCAGTGCTGAATTCACCCTCACGCTCCATCAAAACATCACAACTCACGAGACGACTTTTCTTTTCGTTGCGATTTAGTCCCGCGAGATCTCGTGGCTCGAGATCGTCACATCCCTACCACTAAATATACTTGGGTGGCCATTAACATACCTGGGTGGCCCACCCAAGTAAAGTCTATGAGTGGGAAGCACTGCATACATGCATTACATTCATACATACACAAACATACATAAAAATGAAATCAGTCTATGGCAGACATCATAAATGTACTTATTTTTGCATTATTGCCATAAACTTGTGTTGCAGTTTTGTTTTTAGTTGGTGGATATTAAATGAAGTTTAATTTTAAACTAATTTCGAGAGGAGCACGTGCTCATGATTGACCCAACTGGTCCACATTAGCTAATCATGATCCTCCAATCAAAGAATCCCAAGTCACTATATATATATCCTCATTTCCTTTCTACAACTATCTTCGTCTGGAAGAAACCCCCCACCTCCCCTTCTTCCTCCTTTATCCAGAATGGGCGGCACGGTGGCTCAGTGACTAGCACTGTTGCCTCACAGCAAG